CAATATGAAATTCCCGTACTCTCTAACCTCCACAAGACAGCCATCTTAGGGACAGAGGGAAGTGGTGGTTGAAGAGAGGCGGCTGTCACTGGTAAGTACAGGGGCGAAATAAGGGTGGAAAGGGGAGTAAAGTGGCCTATACCGCTGCTCTTCCGTGTGTATCAGCGGGCACAAATTTACGCGGAGAGAAGGAGCAGCAAATGGCGTACAGTAGCACTGGAAAAGATCTATGCCGGCAGACTCTTCGGACTTCTGCCTTGTTGTTGACTTGAAAAAGATTGTTACTCCTAGACTTCCCCCCTCCTAGCTTCACCCTTGGGGTAAGAGTAGTATAGTATCCAGACCTTTCACTGCCAAGCGGTTGTAAGGTTCATTTTAAAGTTACACGGTAGGGTCTGTGTACGAGATTGGGGTGAGGATGATAGGGCGAACATTTTTAACGAGTAAACCCGCATAAAGATAGATTTGACGATCAAAATACAGGAAATCATTTCATGTGGAAATCATCAATCCAACAAAACGTGTAAGGTAAGATAAAAAAATCAGTTTGTGCAACGATCACTTCTAAGCGGACGATGAATAGTTTTCTCCTTACTGAAATAGCTTAAAGCTGTCACTGGTTGTCTGCTTGAGTGAGTGATCGCGTATTTTATCACACCGTTCATTGGTCGATAATGATCTGACTGTTGTCTTGAGTTTGAAGCACTGATTGGGACTCATTTTTGAGGCTATAGCTTTTGTCAATCGTCATAGAAAGCATCGCTGAGAGAAAAGAAGTGGCTGATGCAATAAAAGTCCAAGAAAATTGACTCTAAGATCTTGGAGCAATGGGGTTACCTTTTTTTTTTGTATCTCTTTTTCGACAACAACTATTTAGGGTGCAAAATTATCCGGCCAATGACGATGAAAGGAATAGATTTAAGTCATGGCGTTATCATGGTCATCATCACATTATATTGTGATGTACGGAAGAGATGAGAGACCTTCTTCATAAAAAATTAATCAAATCACAAGATTAAATTGATTTATGAATCAATCTACATATGTTGAACACATACCCAAACATTTCACATATAATAAAGTTGTTGCAGCGCTGGAGTTCTTCAACGCCAAAGACCTTCAAAATCTTGTCAAAGTTCTTTCAAAAACAGTTGCTTTTTGCGTTTTAAAATCGTGAGGACGGATGTGGGCCGGCTGCCCCAATAAAAAAAACGCTGATCTCTTTAATTTCTCAGACATCCCTAAGCATTTGACAAATTTACCAGAATTTAGAGTGTAGGTTGCATACCTAAACCACAAAATAGCAGGCAGAAATCACGTAGAAACCCAATATATTTCCAAGTGTATTTGTTTAAACGTGTGAACACTGTACATGCACACGTTTACCGTGATCTCTTACTAATACACTTGCATGCCACAGTTGTTAATAATGATCGAGAATCAAATCTTTTAAAGTAAAATGAAAATGACGGAAACCAGATTGAATTAAGCCCTGGAAATGAAGCAACAAACATTGTTAAAACAACTCAGTATAGCTCAAAAAGGATGTTTTACGTAGTTCACCTGTATACAGAGGCCATAAAAGCGTAAGACCAATGAATTTATAAATTAACTGGATAATTTTAACCAAAGCTTTGCTTACTAGTTGTAAATTCAGAGACCACTGTTCAAAATGTTTCCTAGGCTTTATGATGTAGTGTGTTATGCAATGTTTACAAAACACTGGTCAGGCAAGAACCTTAGATCAGTTTTGTTTAACGGAATCATTTCTAGACACAATGCTTAAACTGAAATGATTTAGCAGGTTTTATGACCGATACATCTGCGATTTGAATACACCGGAAAGAACATGCTGATTCTGTTATTCTACTCGATTTAAAAATATTGCAAATCTTTAGCTCGATCGTCGAATAGAGACAGATGATTTCACTTTATCGTAGCCATCAGCGCTCCTTTTTGTCTTTGCATAACCTCAGCCAACATTTCTTGTTTTAACATATTATTTTTAAAACAACAGGGAAAAGGAGGCTTAATCCTCCACTTCCAACACCCCATTGCTAATTTTCCTCACTGTCCACCACACAATTCTGATCTCAGTTCTGAGAATTTGGTATTCGATCAACTAAGAATCCGACAGTTCATATTTTCCTTTACTCTCGTCACTTGTCTACTTGGTGTTGTATTGATATCGTAAAGAGAAATTCTGTCTTGGTCACTCATGGGATTTGAATGGTCAACAACTCTCCAGGCTGCTATCGGAAAAACAGTTTGTTTCAGTAGCTTCTGATTTTAACTTAGCCCTTAAACTTCAAGGAGATAAAGATGTTCAACCGGCGTAACTCTGAAACGAAAAAAACCAGAGGCCAGTGCATATCGAATTTATTGTCAGAGACCGTGCGAAACAGACCATGTCATAAAACTCAGCACAGACTGACAGAAAGTTGCTCCAACATATGAAACGCGTTTTCGAACGGTGAAGTTTTTTTAATTTCAATCAGAGGTGTGTGATGAGTGAAAACACTATAACTTTTAAACGAAGACAGAAACACCAATATTTGTCTGTTTCCTTCAGGAAATTTAGAAACTAATAAGGAAACACAGCCAAGAAATTTCATTGGATTGGAGGTAGCGAGGCGAGAAAATGTCGGCCAAGAGCCCTTGATGTTTACCCGGCGCCTTCCGCGGACTACACCACTTCTTCCCACGGAACAGAACTTGACCTCCCAAAAAATTTAAATCCGTAAATGCATGTCAATACTTAAAAAAAAGCCATGATGCTTTCAGCAGAAAAGCTGGCATTTAGAAAAAATCGCTAAAGCAGTTAGTATGCACGACAGGGGAGCAATTACTAAATCAACACCTTGGTGTGATGACAGATGAACCGCGAAGTGAAAAGGCCTCTATTCTTAGCGTCATGGCATAAAACTATCCGAAGCGCTGCTTCGATGATTAACGGAAATCATAAAGAAACTGTGGATAATACTTCCTCGAGGCGAAAAACCAAAACGATATTTGTTTTGAAGAAATTAATTCCATTACGGTGGAAACTTTTCCATATGTTAGGTTGTGTTCGCGAATCAAGCGCCATTGCTTGAAGATCTTGTTGGTGAACCCTTTATCACAAAACCAGTTCCTACGATCGCGGTTTTGTTGTGTAAAACATTTCCTGTTCACTTTGAAAAAACAAAAGGAGAATAAGATCTGGCTTAATTACAAATTTGCTGTCGATAAACTAATTACCCGCAGCTTTTTGTGCAAACGCGGGCAAAGTGATTTACGCATTTCTTTTTCATTTTCTCTGCTAACAAAGAAGGTACGAAAGAATTTTGTACATGGATCATTGCGACGACCTCTAAAATTGATTTCCTTGAATTATCCGGATCCCTGTTGGATCTTGTTACATCATAATTACTTGCAATAATCAGGGCACGAAAGTATCTCGCACCTTTTTATAGGAAAAGCTGTACGCATATAGCACAGTAATAAGCCCTCTTGTCTGCCGACTTACTGTCTGATTTAAGAGGGCAAGATGACAAGAGATAAAACATTGGTAAAAATTTCGATACAGATGTGTGACGAGTCATTGGACACTTCAACAATTGCTTTATGCTTTCGCAACGGTCCCAAACCAACATTGAATAAAAGATTAAAAAGCGCTTGTAAATTACTTGTTATTGGGAATTACTTACCTTTGTTTCTAGCAATGAAAAGTGCATATGGAATTCAGTTACATGTGTACAAAGCAAAAACGCGCTTTGAGTGACATATCTCTCGACCACCCGTGGGGGGGCTGTTTGATCCTAGCTCTCAGGAGTAACATTTCGGGCGCTTCTGTCATTCTGTCATACTAATTTGACAAATAGCCGCATTTTGACGGCTATCTGCTCATCAAATCGACACGTTCCCAAAGAACTTGCGCTGAAGGTGGCGTGTGAGTGTTTAAAGGCGTCGAAACTCCGCGCTTTTGAACATTATTATTAGAACTGGTTTGTTTGGGCAGAACTTTCCAAAAAAAGCGAGTGAGAAGAGCTATCATCGACCGATCAGGGGTCATAGAATTTTCATACAACGTTTCAGAGATCAATAACAGCGAAGTTGGTGGTTTATACTCGCGAGGCAGGCGGTTAATTTCCCAACCACGAGAGTCCCGCCCTGCGTTCATCATTTCTAACTTTCAGTTTAAATTAGGAAACAAAGCATTTGGCTTCTTTGTGCTTCGATCATCAGGTGTGCTGTGACTTTAAAAAACCCTTATGTAAATACCAGCTGTGGAATTCACTTGTGGAAAAATCACTTTCAGCGTGAGTTTATCTGAGCCCAGTAAAAACTCTATCGTTGTTTACGCGTGCCAATGCAAAGTAATCTCGAAGATTCCAAATTCTAATGTACGACGCTTATTGTGTTTATCTAGTTAGTCTTTATGTTTATGTCCACCTCAAACATGGCCCTTTTGCTATCTAGAAAAAAACAAGAAAAAAAAGCCGCGATTGCATTGAGCATCCAAACTTGAGTTCAGGTGAAAGAGAGAAAAAAAAATGTAGTTTACCATTACTCTCTTAAACCCAAATTATAATATGAATGGAGTGCAATAAGTGATTAATTGTGTGTTTTGACATCATCTGCATAACTGTGAATCTTTTCTTTGATTAACAGCGCAAACTGTTCCATAACACCGCTGGGTCACAAAGCAGGCCTATGATTGATTAGCTGACGGAGACGAGATTGAGTAGCAACTGGTGATAATATGCGCGTTTGGAGCGAACGTACGATTCTGACACAATCTTGGGGAATCAACACAAGTGGATAAAGTAGAGATTAGACAACCAAGTCTATAAACCAAATCTCCTTTGATTGTTTGTCTTAATATTATCAACTTCGAGTACTAGACATCCAACAACAATTCCATTGCCGTCATTTCCGTTTATTGAATTTGCACTCAAAGGACGTCAAGTTCAGGGAGAAGAATTTGAGCACATGCAAATGATCTGATTAGCACAGCTATGGAATCAACGTATTTTGTATCCTTCAAAATTTTTATTATTTCAGTTATGGTGATTCCCAATTCTTATTATCAAGGTTCTTCGACAGTGACAGCGTCATTCCCTTTGACAAACTTGTGTTACGACAACTACGGTAGGCCTCAAAGATGTTTACCAGAATTTCACAACTTGGCGTATGGGAAGAAGATCAATGCAAGCCAGACTTGTGGCAGGCCTCCGCGAAAATTTTGCAAATGGGAGCTGCGCGGATATACATGCGGTGTATGCGATAATAGATTTCCAAGCAAGACTCATTCGGTCAAATATCTCACTGATTTGCACAACCAAAATAATGTGACTTGCTGGCTAGCGGATCCTAAGCAGTCCCGCCAGAACGTGTCATTGACACTCTCGCTTGGTAAAACATACGACATCACCTATATTAGCCTACAATTCTGTGGCCCAAAGCCGGACTCTATGGCCATATACAAATCAGTGGATTTCGGCAAGAGATGGCAGCCGTATCAGTTTTACTCTAGCTCATGCAGTCAGATGTATGGAAGGCCTGAGAAATCTTTCGCCAGCCAAGAAAATGAACAAGAAGCACTGTGCACGGATGCACACCTCAAAAAGCCTCTTCAAGGAAGTCGGATAGCGTTCAGCACGCTAGAGGGACGGCCCTCAGCTAACAATTTCGAATCCAGCCAAGTCCTTCAAGAGTGGGTTAGCGCGACAAACATCAGGATTGTATTCGACCGCACTAGCGCGTCCAAAAGGAAACAGGATTATTATTATTACGCCGTGTCAGACTTTGCGGTGGGTGGACGGTGCCGCTGTAACGGACATGCCGCTCGGTGCCCCATCGGTCGTGACGGACAGCCAGTTTGTGAATGCAGGCACCACACGACTGGTAGCAACTGCGAGCAATGTAAAGCATTTTTCAACGACCGACCGTGGAGGCCTGCAACCGAGTCCTCTGCAAACGAATGCGTAGGTGAGCGACAAAAATTCCTGTTTAATTTTTTCGGTCAATGGATTATTATTTGTCTACCATCATCGATTGAGACTGTTTACGTGATCTTGTATTGTTCCTGTGAGAATGTTTGCGTTCGCTAATTTGCCCTCTTATCAGGCTAACTTATAATGACTGTCGTCGATACTTATTTAGTCGCATTTAAGTCTAATTAGCGTGTACAAATTGACGCGAAAAACACTATCTAGAGTTGCGAAAACGCCTCTCAAATTGGACTCTTGTCTTTGATTCAGCATTTGTTACTCCAACTTAATGAGAGCTACGATTTTGAGATTTCAGCTCTTAATGCCCCAAAGTTGCGGCATTCCTACAAAGACACAAAGGAACAAATCGAGGTCCCTGAATGTCTGATGTCGATTTAGTGGACAATAAATGAGGTGTTACCTCCTAAAGACAGCTATTTTCTCTGTACATTAACAAGGGGCGTTGATGTGTCATGATTCGTTTCTTGCCGCACACAATGACACGTAAAAAAATAATCGTCTCACTCAGCTCAAATCTTGGACAACTATCGCCTAAATTTTGAAACTTTACTCAAACGTGCACGATTAATTGAAACGATCAAGTCAATGTTTTTTTTTAATCATTATTTTTTTTTCGTTCTAACCACTCGTGAAATCTCAACTACGCGGTTCGTTAGAATTAAGAGACATCGCAAGTAAATTCACTTTTAATATTGAAATATGTTTCGAAATGAGTGAGTGCCGACCATCTTGAAATACCTCTTATACACTGCAATGAATTTAAATCAACCCTATGGCGATTTCCGATTTAAAGATATTGGCATTAATCGCGACAAAATTACGAATAGAAGCAAAACTTTATTCATATACACATATAGATTCTAGCCTTGCAGCCTTATCTTCTTCTTTTAAGCGCCCTTCACTGCATAGAGACAGTTCTTTATTTATCTTTGAAGAATTTAACAAAATCCGGATAGAATTAAAAGAATTTATCGCGTTTCCGCGAACTCAAATCGACATTACAAAGTGAACGTTATTAAAAAAAGATTTTGTTTGCATGCGCTTTCGTTGCGACATGAAAATCGCGCTTACAAAAACCCGAAACAAAAAAGCAATAAACGGAGAGAATATTTATACAATCATAGCTTAAGAGGCTTCTTTAATGAAGGCGGTGAAATACATTATGTGATTTTGCTTAATTGAGTCAAGTTAGTATCATTGTTCGAAACCGTGAAGCGGAGTTTATATTTTAACCACAGGTAGTATGACACATTTCTTCTCGTAGTATCCAGAGATCAAGATTTTGAGATTGCCAAAATTGAAAATATATAGCAGCATGAGTCCTATTTTAAATTTTGGGATTTCAGTCTCTGGAGTAATCAATAGAATATGAGACGATTAATCTTACTTCTGAAAAAAAATCTTAAAAGGGGTTAAAAAGTCATTCGAAAATTTAGGGTTTTTCAGGAAGTTATTATGTACTTTTTAACAGTCTGTCATTTGCAGCTGCTGTGGACAACGGAACGGACCAAATGCTAACATCACGTAGTCTCATAACAATGATATTTCCGCTTTTGTTTAATGATTTGATAACACGAAAGAACATTGTTTTTCTTGATAAACAGCAGGGTATATTTTTTTGTAAGGCAAATTACTTGAAAGACAATTCATGTTATGAAACCCTCTGTTTACCAAACCAGTCGATTAAGGGAATATTAGACATGTTTAATGTTCCATTTAAGAGCCATTTAAGCGCTTGTTAGAAACCACAAAGAAAAGATGACTGATTTTACATTTTCAATTTACAACAACGATGTGACTATCACCAGCAATTTCCTCCTTTTAGTTACCAACTGAGTCGTATTGTACTATACTTCAAAGCGACGGACACGGAACTTTACAGATGTTCACGTATTAACTTTTAAGCTTCTGCAATTTCCGCTGATTTTGACAAGCGCTCATCACGCTCAATACCCGCACTTGATTTGCGGCTTCGCCTGTCTTACAAACGGATCCAACGCGATTGTGATGCGACTTTGTCGGTCCGCCACAAGGATGAAGCAGTCTCCAAAGTGTGCAGTGATTAATGAAGTGTTATTTAATGATCTGCTGTCATTGACAACCCAGGATTGTCGTTTCATGCAGGGTAGAAACCATAAATCATAACACATGGACAGAAAATTCGTCTAGAGGCAATGCCTGTAACCTGTTTGTCTGTTAATCTCCAATGTTTATGTTGCGATTCGGTGTGAAGTTGTAGAACGAAAGAAAAACTCCTCCATTCTATAGATGACCATAAATTTCGGTGATAACATAAACTTGCTTGATTCTTCGTGTTATTGCAAAGGTCGTTTACTGATAATATTGACAAATAAACATTCACGACGGGGACAGCAATAAATCACCGAAACAGTGACATTTCGACCCATTCCTATATTCGTGGAGTAAATGCATATGACGCCCAATTTAAACTGAAATAAAGCATCATAGCGATCTATGAAACTCGTGACTTCTGTGTTAACCCGAAGGTTCAAGCGACTCTCAAGTGAAAACAAATCTAAACAAATCTAAAAGTAAAAGGGATCACTTCCAAATGAAAAGCTAGAGAGATTGACTAGTTACATCACCCATCATCGCCAAAGGGTGTCTTCTTGATGGAGCACTGAACTCTCTTAACCAGCTCACAAGAAAGTGTATAGCATCTAGATGGGAGAACTAAAAGTCGAATCTTCAGAGTTAACATATATGTAGATGTATTTTCTCACACATTTTTATTTATTTATTTATTTTGTTTTCGTTTAGCCTGCAATTGTAACTTGCACGCCAAAGCGTGTGAGTTTAACAAGGAGTTGTTCAAGTTGTCTGGTGGTCACAGTGGAGGGGTGTGTATCCACTGCAGACACAATACGGCTGGAAGGTTTTGCCATTACTGCAAAGAGGGGTACTACAAGGACTCTTCAAAGGATATCACAGACAGAAGAGTCTGCAGACGTAAGTGAATTTTGAAAATCGTTTTGTATCGACGCTGTGAAAGTTAGGAGATACGCATCCTTGTTAACGTGTTCCAAGTTCTCAATCAGAAAAGACGAGCGAAAGAGCGACAGTGAGAATAGTCACAAACCAGCGGGTGTCCCTCAAACCCTTTTCCAGACTTCGCAACAGTTCCGAAATGTGGCCCGAATTACGAACCAACGTAATGACAAGCTCCCAGTTAGCTTGTTGGCTCAGTTGGAAAATCACTGCACCGATATCGCATTATCTCCCTTCCCCCACACGGGGCCCTTGTGGAAAACCAACCGAACCAGCTTATAATGAACGATGATTAAGCTAAAACAAACTTGTGTCCCGATTGCGACGTATCTCGAACGTCGTTAAGAGGACAGCGGAAAACACATATATTTGTATTCTTTTTTTTTTTCGTTTTTGCAAGCGAAAAACCGATTATTGAATTCCAAGAGATCGTGATTCTTAGTTAAGATCATGGCAGCATTAATATGCACTCGGAAACCTCTTGAATCTGTAAACAGCTCTTTCCCTTCATAACTATCATTATTTAAAAGCCGATTACAATTTTGTTTTTGAAGAGGTAGACGCATGAGATCACTAAGCTCCATGAAGGATTTTAAAATATTTTTTTCGTTCTGCTCTGTTCAGACATCGCCGCCGTTTAGAATTTCACGAGAGACAGTAGACAATGTCACTTTGGAAAGACCAAGTCGAACGCCCGAACTTTAAAACAGCTCTGAAACCTGTTCAGATATAATTTTTTCAGCTCTGCAGAGTGTTGTATCTTGATTTGCTTATTACGATTAAAAAAAAACAGAACAAAGCGAAATATATATATATGTGTAAAAACAAACGAATGAAAAGGGGTTATATCTAACTCGTTTAAGAGTTGTCAAACCAAAATTAAGGGTGTAAAGGGCTAAATTGTTGCTGTGGTGATTAGCTACGTCGAAAGGACGACGAAAGGACGACCGTTTAACAGTCGATCACCTAGCTTTGCATGTTGGAATGGCCACTAAATTCTTTCCCTTCGAGAAGCTGTGATGTCTGACACTAATTCCCTCTTCTTAGGTGTGATAAATTCATACTCAAACCTCTTAGCCAAATCTTGAAAATCGGATTGCTGATGAAAGCGAGAAAACCAAAAAAAAAAATCATCGAAGGTTTTATAGTTCAAGAGGTTTCTTAGTGCAGGCCGATGAAACTAAGATCTCGACAAGAACAAGAGATCTCTCCGAATGTTTGCATTCTTACCAATCAAGCTTAAATATTTCAAGTGAGGCATTTACATTCCGTCTTAAGCTCTTCCGTTCTAGGCCATTCTCTTTTATTTTTGGTTCATCTCAGTCATTTTTTTTTTGTTTATTACGAGAAGCTAATTCTTTTTAGAGCCCTCATCAATGAAAAATTTTGACGCTGAAAAACAAAGTCAGAGCATCATACAAAAAGGGAAACGTTTTTCTTTGGCTGGCTGCTTGCAATATTTAGGCTTTCCTCTACATTATTTCTGCAAATTTTTAGCCGTCATTGAGTTGTTTCTTTAACCACAGGAATAGTTTGCCCGTGCCTAAAATCATGTGTTGATACTAGCGTTCCCATACGAAGTCCGTTCAAATTTTTATGAAGTGCAGCAGTGTAAATCTTGACTGTTTCTTTTTTTACTACAATCAAGATGTTCAAGATCCTTGTCATTTCAAAAGGAGGTTCTTCTAGACATCTGCCAGAGCTTTGAAATATTTGACATAACTGGTGAAACTGACTTGTCAAGGTCATTACCACAGGTTAATGAATTGCTGTGATCGAGACAAAGGCTATATTCACCGCATTTCGTCGTTTGCAAAGAGACTATAAAAAATTCTAGCTTCAAATTACGATTCTAACCAGACAGTACGATATATGACGCACTAATTAAAGGCCTTGGAAAGAGAGCATGAAGTCGTCATGGTCACGCTTGTGTTCTCGTGGTCTTAAAGGTATGATGTAGATCGAAAAACACAAGACTTGTTTTTGGAAAGGTTCCTATTCCTCTCTGCGTGAAAGGCCGTCAATTCCAGAAAAGTTTAATGTGATGGTGGTTGAAGTAAACTTGGATAGGTATCTACTCACTACAACTCTTTCTTCACGTGGAATTTAAAGTCTCAAAATATTAAGTCAAGAACTAAATTTAGTCATTCCTTCAATTATTCCATTCAAGCCGGAAAACTCATTTCATTTAATTTGTTTTAATTGATGGGAAGGACATAAAACAAATAAAGCTAAAGAGATGAGGATCTTAAATCCCTGTTTAGCTAATAACGTATAAAGTTACAGCTAATTTTGTTGTTCTTTCTTGATGAAAAGCTGTCTATCCCACGTTAATTTGACTCGGAGTAACTTGAGTTACGTACGTTTGCGTTAAACTAGGAACAAACAGGCTTGAAGGAAAAATATTAGAAAAACATGTTTACCGCAACGGTAAACAAAGTAGTTTACCTCCATACAACAAGATTCATGATATTCACACCCTCTTTTAAAAATTAGTAACCTGTAACCATTAACAAGATCAACTGCGAAGGCAAAATGCCCTTAAAAAAGCTATTAGTGCAGTGAAAAATGGCAGGAAATGACTAAGAATTCCACTTTTCATTCTTAACTTTTCCATCGAGATATTCTCGTTTTGTTTGAAGGTTATGATGAAAGTGACGTTATGCAAACAGTCACAGGCTGGATCATACCCCAGTCCCGGGTGAGGACAAAAGTAATCTACGGTGAAAAGGAAACGAATCCATTTTTAGTCTTGGCTAACGCGCATTATCCAGCTCAGATCACGAAGGTTATTCGCAGATTAAGTTATGCAAACATATAATTGGATAAGAATACTCACGGCGACCTGCCAGGTCAACAGGATTAGTCTGCGTGCGAGAATACAACGGTTTTAACCTCACGTGGTATACTGTGGACAGACCATGCACGAGTTGTCTCATTTGATGACATGAAGGTGTAATGAACTTGGTTCAGTTTCTAAGGTTGATTTCTATCTAGGTTTTTGCCCACACGAAGCCTAAAAGGATTAAAACAGTTTCAATATCTATTTTAAAGACACATTTCACAATAGAAGCACGAGAGAAGCAGAATCATCCGCTGCTAAAGCGAGGAAACTTCCTTTTCACGCCAGTTCGACGCGCATCAAGATTTGACCACATAGTGAAACGGGCTGAAAAATCTTAGCTCCTTTTTTCCTGTTTTAGTCAAACATCGAACCTGATAGGCATGTTTACCTGCATTTAGGAAAAGACCTTAGCATCAAAAGGTCAGCCAGTGATAAATTGGATTTGTATGGTTTTGAAAAGGAAAATTCCCATCCATTTCTGATCTCCAAAGTTTTGGCAACCTGTTGGGGACAGTCCAAAGTTGAGAGTAGCTGGCTCATTAAGACATGAGCTTTAATTGGCTTGACTCCGCAGTAACTGTTGTCACAGAGAACTAAATTGTTCTGAACTATACTTTATTGTAATACAAAGTATTTCTAAAGCCATAAATTACCAGGCTGGAATCAAAGGGGCTTTAATTGAAAGGTACATATATAGCCCAAAATACAACGCAATGGAAAGCTTGTCCTTACAAAAGACTTGTCCTTAAAAATAGACACTCGGTTTGCTCTTCAGAGGGAGACCAGTGACCTGGTGATCACGAGAGCTTAGAGCTCGACCGGCGCGTGTCTGAACTTGGCCGGGTCATCGTGCTCTGTCCTTGAAAGTAACATTTAACTCTCACCGAGTTACTCTAAGCCCAGGAGTTTTCATAGAGAGCATAAAACTGCTAAAAAAAACCACGTTTTAATTCTTGAAGAACGAGAGGGGGGAGGGGGAGGGAACTTATCTAAGTTCCGGCGCTGTTGGCCACTTTGCTGCGTGCGAAACTAAGCGCTATAGTTTAATCTTCGGCCAGTTTAATTTTCTGTTTTCAAATTGGCGGTGCCCTCAGTCAAATTTTGAGCACATTTGACGACAATTTTCCCACGATGGCACCACACTTTCGAGTCTCAGGACGCGGTAACCAGTAAAGTTTGATTCCTACTTCTCTTTGGATAATATTCAAATCTGTTTCCTGAGCATTCTTCTCCTATTAACGGTCTTAATTTAGAGATGAATTCATAGTTAAAATTCTCCGATGTCTCTTTTGACATGTGAGGTCATTCGCCAGTCGCCTTGTTTCTACTCCCTTCAACTTACAGGGGCATGGTTCCTCCATTTCTCTATGCGCATGCTGAGTCACGCTGCGGCCGCTGTTCGGTCGTCTTGTCCATTCTATGGCACGAGAGATTTTTTCTGAACTTCATCACTAAACAACAACATAAATCATTTGTAAAGGAGCTGAAAAGAAACGTAGGAAAGTCACACAAGGGCTTTGATGCCGTCCGACGGCCTTTGTTATTAAATCCCTGCTTCACTCAAGTAGCGCAGACATCGTGATGAAAGGGAAGGAGCATAAGTATAAAAAGTGGCGTTCGTGAGGTGAAAGGTGTCGTAAAGGCAAACGTTTTTTTCAAGTTACTCTCATGTCATCACCTTTATAATATCAGTTCAGCAAGAGATGTTACTTTCAGTGATAAGTTCAAAGTCCGAAATAGTAATAATCTTCCCCAGTCATTAATCAAAGCATAAGATTTTGTTAAGTTCCTCGTAGATTAAGGTAGGAGCAACCCACACGCAAAGTTTGCGACAAAATTAAGCTAAATTAGTATTCAAATTAGTTTAATTGAATTATTATGCATTCCTGCCTTTCCAGAATTTCAGGATTATCGAAATAAGATCTTCCTTTTTCGTGGACTACAAAATGGCCACAAAAAACCATTTATTTCAGATTCCAAAGTCGCCTTCGTGAGCGGTTCAGGTCTGTGAAACCCTTTGACCATGTGCTAGGATAAAATTCCAGCGCCACTAATCGATAAGTGACCCTGTGGTGGTGGTCCGTGTTAGTGGGCGTCTTAGAACTTAGAAAATTACTGAAATTAGTCCCTCTAGGGCATGATTTTAAGGGCAGAGGCTAATATTGTGGTTTCGTGCTGACCGTGAAAACTTATTTGATTTAATATGTCTGACCCGGTTCACCTTTTACAAATTTTTTTTACGATGCAAGACATATATCTCATGTATTTGTCACGATTTTCATGTATTTATAATTTTTTCTATCCGGTAGCTGATGATAAGCCCTGTTCTTTGACATTATCTCTTATAAAGTGAAGTAGTCACTCATTGAAAGGCAACTGCGGAGTAATCGGAGCTTACTTGTAAAGCCTCTGATAATGAATGCGTTGCAATGCAACTCAACAAGTAATTAATGTTGAAAATATCTTGTTTCCTTTCTTGCTGAATGTTCTGCTGCTTGTGCTGAAAACTGATCACAAAACTTAGTTCCCAGCGGAAATTTCAGTCATCACGGATCGAAAAATTTTGTTCTCGCAAAATATTTAAGACCACCTATAAACTTTACAACATTAGAGGAACGAGCTTATCGTAGTCAGATAATAGAAGAAAAAAAAACTTCTTTTAATGTGTTTGTTCAGTTTGTTAGAGAGATGTGTATCCTGCGTAGCAGGTGGTTTTTGGGGCGCTCGACAAAAATGAATGTGGCGTGAAAATGAACAGCGGTACTTCCCCCCCTAAACAACCAGGCGTGCAGGCTGATATTAGTCATTTATTCTTGTAGCATGTTCCTGCCACCCGCGAGGATCGATGGGAAAAGTTTGCGACCAGAGCACAGGTCAGTGTCCGTGCAAGGAAGGAGTGACTGGAAGAGAGTGCGACAAATGTGCAGAGGGTTATAAGACTACAAAGAGCGCCATAGCACCTTGTATCAGTGAGTATTCTTTGGAATTAAAACTCTCCACGTTTGTTTTTCATTGGAAAATGAGGAAACTGTTTCCTGAATGTGCTAATCTCAAACTGCTCATGATATTCTCATCAATAATATAACATTTCCCCTCTAAACATACGGATTCTTCGCCAGGACACTTCCGAGACTCTCACATAATATCTCCCCCTCCGGGTCACACAAATGGTTACACTGTTTTTGAAATCAAGGAAACCTGACTGACGATGAGGCAAGGTGGGGGGAGGGGTCTGCAGAGGTTAGATATTTGACGCAGGAATGACGAAACCGCCATGAGTAGCATAATGAACCTTTAGGTTTGCAGACAAAGATTTTACTTTACATGGAAAGTAGGCTCAATTTTCGCCGTTCTTTTGAGCATGGTCCTACATGAACACGGGCTTATTTCCCAAACAGAGGCCACTGGTCGAGTGTGTCATCCTTGATATCAGTGAGCTGATTCGTTCTCACAGACAAGTGAAGTGAAAAATAAGGGACCAGTAAGGGAATATAAACTGTTTACTGATTCTCTTGGGGGTTCAGTCTTTATTCAACCTCCCCCCCCTCCGTTCCCCCTGAAAAACATTTGATACCCCCCCCCCCGCCCCCCAAATCTTCGACTTCTCATTTTCTTTGTATGTGTTCGTTTCCAGAACCACCATACCCGGTGATGTCGATTCAGCCCGATGGATCATGTAAGTTTGCGATTTTAGTGTATAACTAGTAATTGAAGATTCTCCACAAACAAACCGCATTAACCATGTTTGCTCTGACAAAGGGCTTACGCTCGAAACATCAGTTTTAGAAACTATTTACAATGGCAATCTACATTATCAACTCTGTTGATAAAAACGAATTATCTTGTGACCCTCTAACAGACAGAGCACCACAGTTTCTTTAGAATCTTACCGCCTAATCGGTTGACGGATTTGGAAGCACACGTGGAATGTTTGAGAACACAAATTACGAATGACAGTTAACGAATTACGAGCCAACACTAATTTGAATCAAGATAGGATGAAATGAGTAAATTCTCTTTAGTGTGAATCAAAACCAAATCAATAGAAATATCATTTGAAAATGTTTTTCCAATCTATCGTAGCCTGCTTCCAGTGCAAGGGAGCCGGTCTTTCAGGAAGGAAATTCTGTCGAAAAGATTTTGGTAAGTTTTCTTAGAGAAAAGCCACAAGGTGTCACTGAACTGACGGAGTGGGGGGGGGAAGAGAAGAAGGGGTGGGGCTCGATCGTTAGAAAGGAGCGGCCAGGCTGAATGATACTTTTCTACTTCTGAACTGTCGCCCAGTTTTGATAAATACCATTTACAATAAGGTTTTTATTTCTCTGGTTGTAAAAACAGGCGATAGTTAAACGATGTTGATTTAGCAGAAACGCAATCTTATTTTGTACTAGAACATAACTCATCCCAAATGACTCTGGCCTTCTGCGTAGCTTTATCATTTTTCCCAGTGTCTATAGTAAAGCTCTTGTCTAAGGAATAAGAGGAGAGGTTATTAAAGACAGGCGGCTTGGAAACATAGAGTTCTGGACGAGAGACTTGTGCTCGAGGGGATTTATTCCATCTTACTAGAGAAGGAAGATTGTAAGAGAGGACGGTTTAAAACAGAGGGAAGCAGGGAGGGGACCCTTGCGACATGACAATGCTTCCCTTCACTGTCGATGTTAGATATGATACGTTCTTCTCCTCCATCGAAAGTCGTTTGTCCAAGTTCTGCATATTGTCGTGAGTCGCCAAACATCCAGCCTTTTATTTTTGTCCAGATAGGGTATACTGTCTTTAAGGTCTCAGCAAATGATCGCAGCACCCTAAATAATCCTGTTTAACAAATCTGTAACCGTCCTATCTAAGCACTGTTATGATTTTTGCTTGTTTGTTTGTTTGTTTTATAAGCAATGAAAGTCGCTGTTCTTGGGTTGGACAGAACATTGCAGGGAGAATGGGTCCGAGTGACCGTCAACGTCATGACACGTTACAAGCGTTCATTGGTCCGTTTGAAATTAGGAAATGAATTTCTTTGGATTCCGAAACGAGACCACAAATGCAAATGCCCCAAGCTCCGTCCTGGCCGGCATTACTTGATAGCAGGCTCAATTAAATCCTCTCGTCAGAGAAGGAAAATTGTTGTGAACAACCGCAGCATGGTAGTCACGTGGAATAAGAGCATGGAGAGAAGAGTGGAACGAATGAAGAAGAGGTGTCAAAAACAAACACAGCTTTGAATATCGATGTAATGAAAGCAAGCGTTCGGAAATGTAATTAGAAACCAGGAAAACGAGGATTGGAAAGAACTAATCCAGAAGAGGTGTCAGAACGAAACACGATTTTGAACTACGTCGCAATGCACAGCAAATCTCGAAAATTTTAGTAGACACAAGCAAAACTGGTGTGGTAAAAGAAACAGTTGATATTGTTAAGTCTGGGGTACTTGTGAAGAAAGCGAGAATATGAACAGAGGAGGATGAAAGGAAAAGTCTACCGGTATATCGGTAGAATGTGTTTCCTATCTTTAGGATGTCTTGAAGCAGCCGACTTTTCTCTTTCTCTTTTAGAGGCCCTCAAACAAAAAATTGGAAAATCACTAAATTCTTCCGTTTTTATCATCTGAACACGTGAAAAACCACCTCGCCAAACAACGCGTCGATCCACGACGAGGCTTTCATAGTTTTTGAAGATCTTTTGTATTTTTTCAAATATTTTTCCCTCAAAAAAACTCCAAGATCGTGAGTAATAACAGAGCACAATATTCATTTTCTATGATTTCCGATTAAGATTATATTAAATCATAGTTAATATGTAACCCCAAATCGTTGTGAAATGTTTCAGGAAATTAACCTGAAATTTAAATAATATATGATTGTATAATTCCTCCTTATTGATGACGTCAATCACTTTTGTGTTTGCTTCCTTTGCTCAATTCGTATGCAAGTAATTATCAACAGAAAAAAATGCACATCGTTTTAAGAACCCAGTCTACACCGCTGAGTGCGCATGTACCCTCGATTATCAGCCGCTTTTCGGGAAACGACCCTGCGCTCAAGTCCCAAGTCTTCAGACGGTCTTAAGATCTCGCCATAATTTCAACTTCACAGCAACCTAGCGCTCTTAACCTGTCGCGACTCGCACTCCCGTTCTTAATTAAGCGCGACTTTCACTGCGTTTACTTTTAAGTTCTTCACAAGCTGCATAAAAAAAGTGGTCCTCATATGTTATCCTTCTGGAGAGCCGGGTATAGTTAAGAATCCACCATTAGACTGTACTTGGGTGATACGGAAATGAGCAAGTGTCCTGGACATATTTTTATTTTTTAATCAAAATACAACTTGCTCGCTTTATAAAATTTGTCTCCTAGTTACATTCAATTTTACGAATAACTCTTCTCCGAAAACAAAATCTCCAACCGTATTCGGTTTCACGGGACTTTCACTTCTCCTGCTACAACATTGGTTAATAGTCACTTCGTCATCACTCAAATCAACCGATACCATAAGTCAACTCGTGAACACACTTGGTCAACTCGCCGGCAACATCGTGAGTACTATCGTCGACGCCGTAAAGTAGTTTGGAGAAGTGACCGTGGATGTCCGCGAGTTGAGCAAAGACGATCGTCGGCGAGTTGACCAAAGGTTTCGGCGAGTAGACTAAGTGTGTCCGTGAGTTCACATGTTGGCGAGTGAACCAGGTATCATAGCATTATAATCTGTTGGTCTTCCCCGTAGATTCCCTGCGCGAACTACTAAGTTCAAGGTTCTGGGCATTTCATAACTGCATTTACAGTTCTGAGTCTCTCTAATAGCACTTTGATTGTAATTTACAGTTATTTTAGAGACGTGGTTTCCTATCATTCTTCTACGTTTTAAATTCTGACGGTAAATCATTTTTATATTACGTCCTTTGCACAATTTTTTCAACTTAGAAAAATGTCAAAGTTGATCACTGCGTTATAATTAACTTGTAAAAATACATATACACAATTCTTGCACTCTACATTCCTGTCTGTGGTATGATTCAAAATCAAGTGAGGTGATAAGCAAGTAGGAACGCATTACAAATTCCCCTCCTCCCCTCCACCATTGTGTATTTTCAAGCATTTTTTCCCACCCTACTTTTCATTGTCCCTCCCCACCCTAGCATCACTTCCTATTTCATTTAAGAGGGAAATTTTGGGGAAGGGGGGGGGGGGACAAGGGAAGAAAGGTTCTTTCCATTTTCAAATTAATTCAAATGAATAAACATCAATTATTTGGAAAGACACAGATAATCAGTGAGTTGGAACAACTGCCACAACAATAATAGCAATAATTAGCAGGACTATAACCACCAGCATTCCTGAAAGAAAAGCACATACATCTTATCACTACAACACACCAAATATTTTTGCTGGTGTGTGATTGGTTCAAAGGCATCTCAAGATCAAACATGCCCCAGCTAAAACTGAGGAATAGCTATTGTTAGAGTCATTCAATTATTTTTGCTTGCACACAATTGGCTTGAATGCATAACATGACCAAATATTCCCCAACTAAAACTGAACAATATACAAGGATATACCCCATGTGATATTCCCCAGTTTTGAAACATTACATCCACTACAATAAGTCTTCATTTAAAATTTAATTCAAGAAGAGTTCATGTATTTTAAGGTTGATACAGAGGAGATAAAGTCACACCAGAGAACGTACCAGAGTAGGTATGTGTTTTAAACAAAGAAATGTCTTTCAAACGTCATTTTTGCATATTGTCTTATAAGTTGCAAAGTAATTGTTAAAATTAAGATTGAAATGTTAGTGATCAAGGATAGTTCATTAATGCAGGTCACATGTAGTTTTAATACGCACCACAAGTTGAAGATTTTGCCGTCACTCTCCGCACATGGGTTGTCTCTCGGATAAGGCGCTGGTTGGTTTGATCCATGCCGGCGTCAATGTCATCAATGATTTCTGCAGCACATCAAAAGATCAACCCTTATAATCTATATACATCAATACCAAGGCTCCAAGCTGTGGCCACTACATCAAGTAAAAATTTTGGCAACTAAATTTGCCAACCCCATTTGGCAACCTGAGTTCTGGGATAACGATAATGTAGCACATACACTTGTAACAGGTTTGTGACTTTGATTAATGGCCCAAGGTCCCTCCCAACCCAACATCAACCCAAAATTGTTATCAGTTGACTGTTGTTGGGGTTAGGGGAGGGGTAGGTGTGCAGTTTGGATACTGACACTGATCCAACATTTTCATAAAATGTTACTCATGCTCTGTCGTTTTCTTCTTTAAAAATTTGTTTTTCTCCTTGAGGCTTGAGAATCAAGCCCTGAAGTGATTGAAGAATCCCCAAAAATGAGTGTGATCTACACTGCAGACTCCAAAGAGAATAAGCATGACCAGCAGTTTAGGATAATAACCGCCTAAATGCACAAGCTGTGACCAATGAATCATAATAACTAGCCTATCATGGAGCCAGCAAACCCATGGAATAACAAAGGTTTCATTGAGGAAGAGAAAAAGAGTCAAATATTTCATTGATAAACCCCTAGATCAGCCAGAGATTGGCCCATATGCCAAGTAGGAGACGTAGAAAAGATTAAGGGGGTAAGTCTCTATAGAAACTACGGTGCTGCATTGGTGGGAGAGTACGACAAGGTAATTTGGTTTTATCAACTGAGTTGATAATGTAAATTGGCCACCGTAAAGAGTTTCAAAGCTAGGAAACTATAACCAGTGACCAATTTACATTTTCAACTCATTTGGTAACACTAAAAGAAAGGGTAGGATTTGTTCATACTTTAGGCCCAAGCAAAATACCTGTCATCCCCATTACAAAGCATACATGTACACCTTTTTTTAATTCCAAAATGTCTATTGATCGATTTAATAACAGCACTCAGTTTTCAATAATAGACACTGTTTAGAGTGAAGTCAACAAAGAGATGTAGTAAGAAGATTAATCAGAGATTGGCCCATATGCTAAATGAGAGACAAAGAAAGGATTACAAGGGTAAATTTCTAAAGAAACTGTGGCGCTGCGTCAGAGTTTGGTGAAGATACTGACCATTTTGTAAGTCTACTTCATCAGAGATAGCTTGTCCCATTAATTTCTGCCTCTGAATGATTCCTGACAAGGCTTCTAATCCTTGGTCTTGTTCTGAAAGTACAACAAAAATTAACAGCAAACTGAATGGAGATGTGCACTAAATACTCATTTTACTTTTTGAAAATCACTGTTTAACTGATTTGATTATGAGCTTCTCCTTTTGACAGCACAAAACTGACTATGACTAAACTGGATTTGTTGCAAGAAATACCTGCAATAATTTGTTGTTGCTGTCTCCTCATATCATCAATTGACACATTGCTATCAGGTTCAGGTTCATCAAATGGATTGGTATCTCGCCCCCTAGGATCAGTTGCCAGTAACGAGCTCCTTAAAATATAAAGCAGAAAATCTTTTCTTCCAATGCTCAAACTCCTAAAATTTTTATTCAATTAAACGGGAGAAATGAGACTGAAACAAATGAACTTTCCAGTAATGGATCTACAATAAATATCTTCATTATTGTCATAATTGTCATTATTGCCTACAAGACCTAAGCAACTTAAAATGCCTAAAAATAACAATTGTTGTAAGCAATGAATCAATAATTCCACGTCACCATTTTCTGATTTTGTATAGGATGCAAAAAGAGATTTTGAATGAGACTGTAAAGTAAATCCAAACTTCCTGGTCACCCAATCTTCAGTTTCGAAATGAGATAATGAAAAGATCTTTAAGGTAGGCTGAGGAAGGCACTTTGGTGAGTACAGGTTCACAAAGGTCAGACAAGTTTCTGATGGGATACAAGGTGACAGAAGGCCTTTTTTTATCTTTCCTCTGTTGCTCATCCCCTGAAATAACTGTTGACTTCCCCTAAAGATGGAATGAAATATTGCCCAAGTTGCACAACACCACTGGAAATGTCACATACAACCACATCAAATGTCCCACAAAATCACTGCAGACATCACTTGAAAGCACTGCAAACACAAAAATTAATAAACTTGATTTCCAAACCTCTCCCACCTTCCATAATCACTCTGATCAGCCTCTTGTTGAAAGGCTGCAGTCATCTGTTTCTCTCTGGAAAGCAAACAAAATAGAATGTCCAAGAATTAAGTATGATAAACTAAATGCCATTAGGTCTCTATAAGCAGGATTTTCATTAAAAAGAGTAGTGGCAGAGGCATAACTTAAAGTAACTGGTTAAAAAAAATTATGAGAAAATTCTGCATACCATCCAGGAAATTCTCTAACCCCTTATATCTATTGAATACCCTGTCAAAGCAAGGGCATAGCTATCTTAGGTGTCCCCAACCCCTTCCCCTGTCACTTTCCCAAAATGCCCAAACTCAAAGAATCTACATGGCATGAATCTTTTCAATGGCTGGATACTCTGTTTGTTGGTCCTTTTCACTCACATGAATGGTTGCCCACTCATAGGCAGGGAAGAGCAGTGGCATAAACCAATTCCCCTAAGGTGAGCAGGAATTAGGAATTCTCCCCTTTTGAAAAGGTCCCTATCAACACCCCTGCAAAGTTACAACTATTCACTATCAAGGATGACTCCAGAGAGAATAGCAGAGGGTTTATAAGTGACAAGTAATTTGCCTCCTGAAAAATATGTGACCTGTGTTTTTTTCCTTCCATTTCAGAAAAATCTCAAGATTTCCCCTAAACCATACACACAAAAATAGAGATTTTAAGTTTTCCCTTTTAATTTGTTTCACATGTCTATATCAATAGCACAATTATCAACATTAAGTCTAAGATGGAAGTATCCTTCATTTTGAAAAGTGTGACTTACTTGGTAATCAGCTGGTCTAACATACTCTGTCTTCTATCAATTTCTCTCTCAGTTCTACAGATTGGTTAAGGAGCCACATTGCATTACCAACAGCAATTTATTACTTTTATTTAACCCTAAACTCCCAGAAGTGATTAACTTGTAACTTTTCCTATAATTTCCACATATTATTCAGCTAACATGTAATGAGAATACTCAAACTTATCAGTTAGATGTTGTTACCTTGATCTAACCACCAATTCATGTGACAAATTTACAAGGAGATGTGTAGCAGCTGAAGGGGAGAATTAATAATCAGATCAGGGGTGTTAAAGGGCTAAAAAAAAAAGGCAAGACTTGAAAATTAAAATAAACCAAGATAACTGTCACTAACCAATATATTTGTCCATTCTAAGTGCCTGTTTGCCAGATAATGTTTCAGGGTTGAAAGGAGAAATTGCATATTCCCTACTGCTCGTGGTTTAATATATACACACATAAATCCACTTTATTTCAGCCCAATAATAGTTAAAGCTGGTGCTTATGGGGTCGTGCATCTTACAATACTGAATACTAAATACTAAAGCCATTAAAATATATAAAATCGTCATTACTAAAATCATTGGTTGAGACAGATGTCACTTTGAAATGAAAGTCTCTTAGGTTGTGAATCTTATTAAGTTAAGAATCTATAGTCCATTGTTTAGCTTGTGTTACACCCAGATGTTCAAATGTGAATGTATTCCGGAGGACAGCGCCCCTGTAACTAATAGACTGTTCTAAGAAGTGAGACTAAAACCTTGGAACAACAATTTTGTCTGATCCTCTTAATGAGTATTTGGTATTTCTCTTGGTAACAATTTCCTCACTTAGTTGTACAAGTAATCTTTTGTTATAGGCATCATACATCAGCTTAATCTTTAACTCCCATGAGTGACCAAGACAGAATTTCTTCTTTCAATATCAATGCAGTGTTGAGCAGGCAAGTCATGAGAATAAAGAAAAATATCAATTGGGGATCAAAGTTGATCCAATATCAAATTCTCCAAACTAACATCACAAGAACTGTGTGGCAGACAATAAGGAGAAATGCTGATGAGATCTTGGGAGTTCAAGGGTTAAACAGTTTGGTCTTGCAGATGTAAGCTAAGGAATGCCATTTGGCTATCTTTAGAGAGTGTTGCATCCTAAGTTAACCCTTTAATTCCCAGGAGTGATTAACACGTAACTTCTCCTCATAATATCCATTCCTTATCCAGCAAAGAGATAATGAGAATTCTCAAACTTATCAGGTACAGGTCTGTCTTAATCTAACACCAGATTCTCATAACCAAGTTACAGGGAAATGTGTCACAGATAGAGGGGAGAATTAACAATCAGATCTTGGGAGTGAAAGGGTTAAAGATTAACTTCATAGTTAGTAGTGAATTGAACTTAATTATCTCAATTAAGTTGAGAGTTAATGGTGAAATTAAACTTTATGCTGACAGAAGGATACACATGATAAGAAGATGAGGCTCGTAAAAGTGATTGCTTTAAGTTGTTGAGATCCCTTGAAAAGGTCTTTAACATAATCCTTACATCAGACTGGACCTGCCAAATTAAACAAACACATTTTGTGTAGAGCAGTGACTAACAGAAGGCAATTACAGCTGTATGCTGGACAATTGTATTTGAATGAAAATAATCAACAGTTGTCGTAGTTTTATTGTCATAAAATGTCTATGTCCCACATAAATCACCTTGTTATAATTCCCTCCATTTCGCCTTCTTTGATTTCTCTCATTAATCTTCTCCATAATATCCTGCCCATACTTCTCAACTGTTTTAAATTCACTCAACCTGTTAAAGGAACAAAACTTTGTCAAAGAAATCCCTCAAAAAAGAAACAAAAAGAGCTCTTCTCAATATTCTAGAAACTAAAATATTCTTATATGGAGCCTGATGAGATAATACTAAAATTCAAACACAGCAAAATTGAATCAAATTAAACCAGTTCTACAATATTTTTTGTACACTTAGAAACACTAGGACTTTTTCTCCTTTACAGTAAACATCTGCCATTTTCCTTTTCTTCTTTTTTGCATATCTTTTTGTACTTTTATGTTATATTTTTTCATTTCCGTTTTATTTCCAGTGTAATTAAATTAAGTCAGTAAAAAAATAAATAAATAAATAAACAAATTTGGTCCGCCTCGATTAGCATTTGCTATCCGTGGGTCAAAGGAATATCTTGTAATATGTAAGAAAATGAAAAATAAGTGTAAAGTGTAAAATTGTAAAGAAAAGAAGTAAACCACTAAGTTTTAAGACCTTTATGGCTGAACACAAATAAAAGAACCAGCAGTCTTTTCAAAACATCCTTAGGAATTGTGGCATAGAACTGTAAAGGAGGTTTAAAATGAAAATAGAACTTACGCGATCACATGATCCAACTTTCTACTGAATTGAGTTGATAGTATCGAAAATCTGTAACAAAATTCTTACCAACGACTAAAAGAGCACTAGTATAGCATCCAGTGTCTTTTGAAGATCGCTTCAAAGACAAAACATTTTTTGATCATGTTACAAACCTCAAAACGGTGGTGTAAAGCTAAACACAGTCGAGAAAAATGAAGGAACTTCCGTTCAGAATGGGACATAATTCAGGATAAATAAGTGAGCCATTGTAGTCTTAGTATCTCAGATAACCAAGATATCCTCACAATATGTACAAAAAAGGTTTTGTATCAAACAGCTATCACAAGTAAGTTTTTAAAGGAGATATTTGTTGGAAAAATAGCGAAAGTACTTCCACCTTACCAGGTATCTTGAGGCGCCATCTTGGATTAGACTCTACATGTATGTGGTTAGTTCCCAGGATTTCTTTAAACAGGAAGTAAATATAGGTATGTAGTGCGTGCGAATGGATAACGAGCTCAAACATTCAAAGTTTCGAGTTTATTAATTCACACTGTTTACAGCAAAAATAACTTAACATAACGGACCAAGATCAAGAATCACCAAGCGCTGGTTCCGTTACTCCATCACATCGAAGCGATACAATTTAGCCATGCAGAGAAGACAGTTCTTGATGTAATTTTTCTTTAATCGTTAAAACGGAAATATATATTGGCCAATTATATTAGAGTATGATGGGGGCTCTATTGAAAACTGACTTCCGTAATGAGGGGGAATCAATAGAATACTACTGAGCCTAAGAGGAAGATCAAGTAAATTTTATTTTATTATTTTTTTTTAAATCATTTTCATTTGGTAAGGAGAAATTCTGTCTTGGTCACTCGTGGGAGTTAAAGGGTTAATCTGAACAAAGTTAAAACGTAATGTGGAGTCAATAAACATCATAAAGTCGGAGCGGTAATTACGGCTTGTTGTTTTGCAGCATTTGTTGCCGCTGGGAATCGAGATTACTCTCGTCCACTGAATGTACATGCTCATTGACAGAATAGATCAAACCTTCAACATTCAACACGTTATAATTTCGGAGAAAATACGACGAAACAAAGCCTCGTTTTAACTCTTCCAGCAATCTGACAAGTATATGTAGCACCCAGTTTCCGACAGTCTGCCAACTCCAACCCGACGTCACTTTACGATTCTCGATTTCTCGTAAAAGGATCATCTTGATCAGATAAGAGTTGATAAGCCCATCGTACAACCGTAATTTATGTAGAGTTTCTGATAGCATATGCAGTTCATCAGTGTTAGCCCGAGTTGCATTTTCGTGAAATAACACGTCCAGATCTGGACATTGCTTGAGAGACTTGCATATTGTATAACAAGCGCGTGCGGGGCTTGTTAGTTTGCTTATGATCTGTTTCTCGGCCATGGAAGTCGAAATTCGCCAATACAGGGAAGCAGACGGACTGTTCTGAATTGTTGGCGAAACTTTGGGTATGACATGGTAGTATTCAAATCCTTTTTCTGCAGGTACAAGGGCACTGTTAGGCCAACCGATGATTTCTATTGTAGGAATAAGATCGACTGTTACTATCATCCACTTAAAGTGACATCCACGCCACAGGAAGAACAACCGCGACCCGGGCTTAGTCTGAGAGTTATCCACAGTAACACCAACGCTGTTCCGGCCGCTATTGTAGTTTCGAAGCTTGTGTAATCGAGTGGACATTGCAGTGAGGTCAGCTTCCTCGGAGTGTCTGTCAAAAAGGGAATGAAAGTGGATATGTAGCCTCTCTGCAATCAGATAACCAGCTTCATCCAGGAAATCATTCCACAAGTCTTCCTCTCGGTCGTTTATACGTATTTTCAAATATCCAGGGGGATCATTGGGACACTCGCAAACATAACATGCTTTCGAAAGTTCTGTAAGAATGCACATATAATCAACCTCATCGGGTTCGCCAACCTTAGTGTTTTCCACAGTGCTGCCCGCTTGTACAAGCTTGTAAGTGAACTTTGGATGCACCCGAACCATGCCTCCTAAAGCAGTTTCGATATAAAACCTGATGTCCTGTTCGACTAACTCCACTTCCGGTGTCCGCTCGACTAGTCCCAAACCCTCAGTCTCGTTCAATCGGATGAGCAAAGAGCTTAAAGAAGCGTTCTCTGTCACACCGCTGGTGAAGAGTGGGTCATAATTCATTTCGGAATGCAAATACCTTTCAACTTGAGACTTTCCAAAATCATCTACGACGTTATCAAAACAAGGACTGTCCATATTTTTCACATGACCATTCAACGTCTCTCTCGATTCTTTACTTGGATATTGCAGCAAAATGTTTTCCGGGGAGATCGGCACTTCTGAATTGGTCATGTATCTCCGTTTCTGCATATAGAATTTTGCCGAGAGGCCCGCGTTGTCTAGGGTAGTAGAGCAAGCGCCAAGCGAGAGTAGGGCTTCCACCACCATCCTGCGATGGTGGTAAGAGGCGTAGTGTAAGGGAGTGGCCCCATGTTGGTCTCTTGCATCCACACGTGCCCCTCCTTGCTTGATCAAGTCGATGCAGATCTTACTGTCGCCGAGTTCGGCTGCTATGTGGAGAGGAGTAATTCCACTTTTGTCTGGAATGTCCACATTTGCACCACCCGAAATCAAAAGCAAAAGAGTCTTCCTAACGCAATCTTCTTTTTGTGACCCTTCTGAGGCAGCTATTGCGTGAAACAGCGGAGTCTGACGGTCGACATCCTGTTTATTCGGGTCTGCTCCCCCTTTTAGAAGGATCTGCAGGCAATCCAACCTGTATTTACTGGCCGCATAGTGAAGAGCAGTCCTTCCCCACTTGTTAGGAAGGTCGACTTTTGCTCCGAACTTTATTAACAGCGCTAAAATATCTGCGTTCCCATTCTCCGAGACATAATGAAGTGCAGTGCGTCCGCGCCTTGTCTGCACGTCTACTTTCGTACCAGAGAGAATCAATTGTTCCACATCTCGTCTGCAACCCAGGGCAGCTGCCCGATGAAGTGGAATTCCTTTGTTACCTTCATGGCCGAGACTCATCGAAAAAAAAAATTTTAAAACCGTACTAATTTGAACGACGCGAGGTACTCAACATCTTAACTCAAACATGAAATAAGTATTACATCGTCTGGCCATAACTTCCGAATGTGTTGTGCCATCATCTCGGTTGGTGGATTCCCAAAAGCTAGTACCTGAAAGAGATAGCTAAACTGTTAAAAGTCTCATTTTGGCGGAAGGGCAGTTAAGCCCAATGAATACTTGGAAAAATGTTCAAAAGTCACCCCTAGTTCGATAAGTTCTAGCCCCTTCGCTAGCTTGTTATACGTCGAATTATTACAAATTTCTCTTCTAGAGATCAAGCGAACGAATGATTCGACTTGGATCGGATCCAAGTCAAATTATTCGTTCGCTCGATCTAAGTTGAATTATCGCGAGTTAACACATTTTCCTCGATATCCAAGTCGAATTATTCGTGATTTTAAGGGTTTATTGGTCGTTTAATGTATATAGAAATCTTTACACCACTTATACTTGTTCTAAGGTTATCGGTTTTTTACTAATTAACTTGTAGAATCGCGAACCACCTTTAGTTCAGTCACGATTAACAGCGGTTTACACTCAAGTAAAACGATTTTCTGTTATTTTGTACTTTTGAAACTAGGTAGAATTAAAGACAATATAAATATCCGCATCCGGCAAAATTCGTTGAATCAACAGCCTAAGCAAAAACAAAAGGTATTTCAGCAACGGGTCACGCGAAGCTCGTCTTTTTATTCCTAAATTTGAATTTCAAATTGGAAAATCTTCTTCGCTTCCCTCACCTGTATAGAAGCCGACTTCGATGCAAAAATTGCGGAAGATAGGGCCAAACGCAGCTTGTAAAATCCACTTCAGTACAATTCGGCACCGCTAGGAATTTCATACCTAAGCCAGGCTAACTTGTTTTGCGGGAATACATGTACTCAAGTTTCTGTATCTCGGATTTCAAATCTTTAAGTCTTGAGTTTCGATTCGATTTCAAATCTTGAGTTTCCTGGAAACGGAGGAATTGATGTCAAAGATGACAATGATGACGGTGCTCTTCAATACCACAGGCTACCCATTCCTTGTGTGTTGGTTACAGGCCTCACTCAAAACCTCATGGACATGGTCAGGAGCACATTAATGGCTCCTGACATGGACTTGTATTATAGATACTGAAGAACCAAAGCGACTGATTCGAAAACACGTGTAAGTAAATGGCAAGTCTACGTTCAGTTGTTCATGTAATAATGAGGCAGGCCTCAAAGATATACAATGTCGAAGTTTCAAAACAGTCTAAATGTAAATTATTAATGGTGTGTGATAAATGACCCATCAAGACTCTCATTCATCCCATTTACACTAAAAAGCCCTATGTCAACTATTATTTGTGTTCATTTGGCATGAACATTTGTGTTGTTATTAAAGAAGGGTACACTGATTTGCATTCTTATATAGTCATTTGAATACATATGTTAAAGTATAGGGAAATTAAGGTATTTTCAATGATTTTAATCATCCATGTATTCACTAATAACAATATATTACCAGTATCATGTATCTGTTATACTTATCCACACAGAAATTTCAAAACCCTAGTAAGAAATATCCACTTATCTCTTTACACCCTGATATCAGTATGCATATTCTCTACACTGTTCTTTATACATTTCTCAGCATCCTAACAATGAGAATTTGTTCAACAATCAAGAGCTTCTTTGGTTGGTGATCATTTCCTTTATTCTCATGACCCCGATGTGCAATATAGGGGTGATAGTGTAAGGAGAAAATAGATGCTGGTCACTCTTAGGGGTTAAGGGGTTAAGTTTGATTTTCAGCACCTTGTTTAATGTTTTACTGTAATTCTAAAATCAGATTATAATGTTTGATTTTGGGACCTTCCCTGCACTTTAGGAGGCTTCCATCAAACAAACTCAATTCCCACATTTGATTGGTGCAAGCAATACACATTACCCCAATGCCACTATGCAATTAGTGCAACATTTTTCCTATGCTGAAATACATACTCTTTTGTGGAAAAATACCCCAAGAGAGAAATAACACTTTGTTGACAATTTCTTTTATTGATAAGGATTTAGAGAGCAACAATAAAAATAACAACAGAGAAGTGTACAGAGTTTTATATCAAAAGTTTTTCGATTGACTGCTGAAGTGACTGAATCTGTGGTTTAAGCTGAGATCCTTCATTGATAGTGACTGCAGTTGCTATGACAGGGCGTGACACTCCACATGCTCTACCAAGAGCCTGCTTGGAACGAACAAATACATAAGGCACATTCTGAAAAGCAAAAATGAAGCAAGTTGTCACTGTTTTTTTTAATTTTCATTTTTTATCTAACCCTTTACACACTAACATCAGTTTTCATATTCTCTATACTGATCTCTGTACAGTTCCTAAGACACTGACAAGAAGAATTTGTTCAAGAATAAGGAGCTTCTCTTGTTGGTGATCGTTTCCTTTATTCTTGAGACCTTAATGTGTGATTCAGGGGTGATATTGTAAGGAGAAATTAGATGGTAGTCTCTCTTAGGGGTCCAAAGGTTAACCACCATGATGACTTGAAGTGTGGAGAAATCTGACTTGAACTTTCAACCAATCACAATTATTATGGTTCAGTTGATTGGCATTGTATAAATGGGCTCATCCTAATTTATTTAAGACTCAAATTCTGTTCAATTTTAGGGAGCAGTCAGGGCAAAGAAGGCTACTGATTTTAACACACAAGTATAAAAATTGTCTCAAATTGGAAAAAGGTTTTGTATCATCCAAGCATCCTTTTTGCTGAATGCCACAGCAGAATAAAAACTTACCTATTTTTTAGTACAAAAATGTTCTTTAAATTTTTTGCTATAATGTTTCACTGTACCTGTAATTATGCATGCTTAACAACACTTTCATGACCTTCCTTACCTTATCTTCACACAAGAGGGGAAGGTGAAGCAATATTTCTAGTGGTTCTGTATCTGCTGCCATAACAATAAACTCAGCAACACCCCGGTTGAGGCACTTGGTGGCTGAAAGAAAGAGTGAATATCTAAATGCACACAAACAACAAGTGGTGACATTTCATGAACATCATTACTGTATTTCCTTGAATAGGGGCATATGCTGTAATGACCACTGTTCCTTGAATAAGCACCCACCTCTTAGGCCACAAAGTGAAACATAGCCCTTCTTCAATAAGAGCCTACCTCCTGCCTTACTTTCTTAAAAAGTAGGGATACAAGGAAGACCTGTTTCTATTGCTACTTCATTAATAACTTTTCAAGCTTCAACTACAAGGAGATCAGTACCAGAGAATGGTTACTTCTCCATGAAGTTCCCTTAACCCTTTCAATCCCAATATCTGATTGTTAATTCTCTCCTCTAGCTGCTACACATTTCTATGTACGTTAGTTACAAGAATTCGGTGTTTGATCATGATAACAACTTCTACGGTACCGCTCAAGGGTGAGTTGACAGTCCCTCGAACCTCGATAATTTCGAGGATCGAGGCCTGAGTTGAGTTTCAAGACGTTCGAGTCGAGTATTGAGACCTTCGGTTCGAGACACTCGAAGTTCGGAAACAAAGGAGTTCTCGTGCGATTACTTTTTCAAACGATTTGAAGTTCTTTACCTTTAGTCTAAACCATGGATTGAAAATCCGTATAGTGTGCATCGTTTCCGATAGGGCGAAACTTTGCTCGAAGTACAATACATGTGTAGTTCTGTGATTATTATTTTGCTGTGTGCTTGACCCTTTTCGTTATCTCGAGCGAAACTTAGCTCGAAATTCAATTGTATTTCTGATTTTTTTGGACAACAACCACGTAGATATTATTATCTATACTGTATGCGTAACCCTCTTTGTTATCTCGCGCCTGATCGTTATTATTTATCACGATGTTGAAGAGAGCCTTTACTACTCCGCCATGTCCGAAATTTCCTTTCTTTACACATCTCCAGTTTCATCGTCTAACACAGTTTTCAGGTTTCCTAGTTTTACTTTATGAAGTATGACACTAGAGCTTGATGCTAATCTAACCCTAGGCAAAAATATTGGTTTATGCCTCTTTTCGACGCGAGACTGTGACAAGACGATGGCGTCAAGTCAACTGGCGACTTTTTTAGGTCACACTTTGTTAAATGATTTTTGGTCTCCGTAAATAAGTGTATTTTTTTATTACTGTTCTGATGATAATTTTTCTCATTCGTCAGAGAAGAAGCTTCATCGGCCGGGTTCCTCTTACTTTGGAATGGATATTTGTGTGTAAGGGTCACACAAACCAATTTATAGTACATGTAAAGCCGGTGACACACCTGGCGATTTTATTCGCCGATCGCGGCGATCGGCGAAAATAGCCATGTGTCGCCGGCTTAACTTACGAACATCGCATGTTGCCGTGGTTTTCAATATTCGTACTAATATTATCTGCAATCAGTAAGAAACGTCGTTAACAGGATAAAAGGAATCAAATTATCATCGAATGATTAGATGATCGCTTCAGTGGAAATATGTTTGATTACACTTTTGTCTGTCGGTTGATTATTCTGAGATCGAAGAAAACTTCCGGCGCTCGTAATCTCAAAGTTTATATCTTCCAAAATTAAATTTTGTAGACGTAAATATAAATGTAACGCATGCTTTATTCAATATCATTAACACTAAAACTGAGCTTGACAAGAGCTCGAGTCTTGCGCGATATGAAAATATGTCTGCGGGCTGTCGGCGTGTTAAGCGCTTTGTCCTTCGCTATTGTTTTGAGTGCAATAATTGAATCGTTTTCTCAATATCCTCAAAAAGTTCTTCGAGTGTCTCGATCCTCGATAGTTTCGAGTATTGAGGATCGAGCAGAGGATTGAGCGGCTCATTCTATTAAGCGAAACGAAACCAAACGAAACAAAACCAGGCGAGATACAAAAAAAAAAAGAAATAATGCAGATATATTTTGTAATAAGTTAAAGATAACTTTCACAAGGATTTTGGAGTAATCGTTAATAATAAACAAGAAGGATTTTTATTCATTTCGCAATGTAGTAGTTTAAGAGAAGTTACTAATTTTCGAAACCGACTAATAGTCCAGTATCTCACCTGAAATTACTATTTTGTGAAATATATCTTGATACGGTGTAAGAAATGAGAGGAGACCAAAATCTTTGGTGAAATACTAATTTGTAACATGAAAGAGTCGATTCAGCAAAATAGTACGTCTTATGAAATTACTACTTTGCAAAATTATTAAAAATCCTTCTTATCAATTGACGATTACTCCAAAATCCTTGAGAAATTTATCTTTACCTTAGTAGTAAATACATGTGCATTATTCCTTTAGTTTCGTCATATCTCGCCTTGTTTCGTTTCGTTTCGCAAAATAGAATAAGCCCATTTGAGCAGTACTGTACCTGATAAGTTTGAATATTCTCATTACAGTCGAACCTCAATTATCCGGACTCGTTGGGACTAAATGAAATAGTCTGGATAATCGAGGTTCCGGATAATCGAGAATATGAATATTAATGAGGAAAGAAAACTGATTAAATTAAGAAATGGACATTTAATCGCGAAACAAAACACATACAAATCCCATATACAAATGAATAACCCGCTGTGTAGCTTGTTTATTTTGCATACCAATCCGAACGAGCCACTAGAGCGTGAAATCTCACTTAGCAACAAAGCAACTCTAAACCAATCAGATCTCATTTGAATGTTCTTCATTAGTTGTGACGCGTGCCAGCGCTGCTTTTGCTTTTGGAAAGTGAAACTGACATGCCTTTACTTCACTTTTCAATGCTATAGTTTTAAAGAATATGGCTACGGATCTTGATCATGACCAATAAATATTCATGACAAAATTGGGGTCAGAGTATAAGTCCAGATGATCGAGGTCCTGATAATTGAGGTTCAACTGTACCTGTGTGCTGGATAATGGATGGATATTATAGGGAGAAGTTGCATGTTAATCACTTCAGAGAGTTAAAGAATGAAGTTATTTCTATCTGCATCTGTTTGCAGAGTTCCTTTATGTGTATTATCTGTTCTTTTATTGCTGTGCTAACTTAACAAGTACACCCCTTGATTAAGCACCCTCCTTCTGATATGCATCCCCCTTTTAGCCAAAATTTTTCTTTTTAGGAAATGTGGCATCTTTACAACCCTTTGGTTTCAGCAATTGGTTGCAATGGGAAATGACTGAAATTTTGAATCCTTATAAACAACAGGTGGTCACACACACCACCACATCTCATGGAGATCATTACCTTCATTAGCTCCCTTCCTGAGCTGTTTGTATGAGGAAGCTTGCTGAAGGAGATCAAGGATGGTCACCGTCAGTTGTGGATCAGCCAATGGGAAGGCCTTTGGGTTAACTTCATCGTTTGCCTAAAGATCATTCACACCAAAGTCAACTTCATAATAAAGAAACCATTAAATCTCTATCTACATCTTACTGCTGTCCATCATTGAAGAGCCAGGACCTGGTTGTTTATAGATAATAGCCCCTAGATAAATCTCTATCTGTTGGATAATGCAGTATGTGTGGTGAACACTTGTCTGCTGGACAGTGATTTATCCGTTGGATAGCATCATCCACCCTTTAAACAGCTAAGCCCAGATCAGTATTTTTTACAAATTTGTAGTAATAATTATAATAACAATAATAAAAATAATAAACATGAAAAAATTACACACCTCTGACTTGCTGAACACAAGTGCGTTTTTCATTTAACACAAGAGCAAAGTTGTAACTGAGCAAAGTTGTATCCCAAGTGTAAATAATTGCATGTGCACACTGTCAAAACTTTGTCTGTCTTGACTTTCCGTGGCAATTTTTTCATGTAAATGATTAACAAGTAACAACATGATTTCTCCTCTAATTTGGCTAAATAAA